GGTCTGGGTCTCGTGTGATAGAATGCTGAGCATCAGACAAAGATTGGGGTAGCTGTTTATACCATATATAGTAAAAAATGGAGGTGACCCTGAATGTAAGATACTCCTCCATGTTACATACCCCCCCATTTTTTTTACTGAACATAACTAACTTCTATGCAAATATAAAACCACCATCTTTTTAATGCATATATTGGGGTGGGGTGAAGAATCTTGCATTGGACTAAATACTGCAGAAGCTTTGTCTCATATAATCATGCTACCATTACAGGTAAGAGGAAAATGCAAGCCTTCAGTTCACCAGCTTATTTGTAGTGTAGTAAAATCAAAAAGATTCGCTTCTGATAGAAGGCAGCTTCACTTCTCTGAGCACAGTAGTAGGATAGTCCATAGTAAATTAGATCAAATAGGAATGATAAAAGTTAATGTGTTGGATTCTATGAAACTCTTCCACTAGGAGCTTTTCTCCAGCGAAAGAGGCATGTTCCACTGCAGGACAGGGTTCACAGAATCGAATGTAAGGTCTTTCCTCCCTGTAAACAGACAGAGTCAGATGTACACAACAAAAAACATGACTGTTTTTTACCTTGAGTGTCTGCATCGTTGCACCTCTAAAAGCAACTGGAGACAGCAATGTAGGAGGAATTCCAGCCTGAGGGCCTGCAGAAGCCACTAAACTTTTACAGTTCATCAAAAAGTTAAGTAAAGTGAATGTGTTTGCTCCTTGCACTAGTACAACAGATTCAGGTTTGTGATCTAGTTGTACCTCTTTTCTTTCTTTACAGCTATAAAGATGTCAAGGAAAATGCATGGAAACAAAGGAAGTAGACATAACACTACCAGTACTCTACTAGGCAATCCCTATATTTAATTTCATGTGCTATTACAGAGCAAAGATGTGCTTAATATATGCTTGCATCGAGAAGGCAAGCAAAGTTCTTTATTTTTAACCAAAACATATCTGAAGATACAAATACAACAGGCTGTCATCTTTGTGCATGTTTGTGTGCGTGAGCACAAGAAGAAATCCAGCAGAGAGGAGAAAGGGAAGATAGGATAATGGAAGTTGTGAAGTCAGAAGGGAAGGAAGTAGAGGCAGGATGGCTCAATTAATAGAGGACCAGGAAACATCCATCAAACATATTCATTTCCTAATGACTAATAAAAAATGATCCTGGTACATGCAGTGCATAACTACCACCAAGTTACAGTCCCCAACAGAAATTCATCACCTTAACTGCTCATGCATATTAATTTTTAGCTAAATTCCTGTTTAAAGGAAATGTGTTGCCTCAAAGAAGGATACAGTTTGATATTAATTGCATCTGGTTTTTTAATTTTGTCTTGAACACCCATTTCTTCCAACCATGAAAATCCCTCTTCATCGTCGTCGCCACTACTTAACATTTGTTCCCTAAGGAATGAAAATACCAGAGTAAAAACTTTACTCTGGTACCTGATAGTGACAGCGAGAATGATTTATGCTCAGTTTTGGAAGACAGAAAAGGTACCAGAGGTTGAAGAATGGATACAAAAAGTTCTGTTCATGGCACAAATGGATAAGATTACAAAAAAACTGAATAACAAAGAAGACGATGAGTTTTTTGGAGAATGGAATGATTTTAAAATTTATCTGGAAAAGAACTGGGATGTGAAACAAAACTTAATATGTTTAGATCAATATTAAGTCAAACGATGTTATCTTTAGATTGTAATGATGAAAAACTGATATTGTTGATGATATGAAGTAATTTGGAGCAGGGGTGGAAGCATTGTGGGAAGCCATTGGAGGGAGGGGAGGAACTGGGAATGGGGTAGACAATTGATAGAATGAAATGTTTTATATGTTGTATTCCTGAGAAAATAAAATTTGTTTACCAAAAAAAAAGGAATGAAAATACCATTGTAAGAATCAAACCAAAGAGTGTTCTCCTAACACAGCTGTTTCTGAAGAAATAAAACGAGTGACACAGGAAGAAAATTAGATGAGCGGAAGAAAAAGAGGCCGATAAATTTGCCTTATTCATTGAAGTTGCACCAGAATTAGTTTATATTCCTGGAAATTTAAAAGTGCATTTTTCCATTGATGCCATTTACATCTTAGCAAACCTTTTAATACTCGTTGTGCAAGTAAATGAAGGATTTTTGCAGTTGAATGAGAAACCTGGATTTCGATACAAAAAGAAAAGGTTGGATTCTATGAACTGTGAGGACAAGGGTGCTTTTTCCCACCTGCCCAGGAGTCCCCTTGAGCTCTGAAAGGTTGATAGGAGACATGGGAATGCAGTGAACCAAATGTGATGTTAAAACTTAGTGACATCACTCCTCTTTGCTCTTCTTCTGGCTGCATAGAACTGGGAGGGTGTGTGTGGCAATGCCACCCAATGATTCTTCACAACGACCTGTGTGCATTTTGTCTGCAGGGCTCCTGAAATGCTGACCATGAGATCTTCAGAGGCTACTGGGGGAAGGTGGGAAAGATCTACTTGGACTTCACTGGATCCAACATCTTGACAGCTAATTTTAGATGATTTTATTACTTACTCATCAGTTTCAGCATCCTTGCCTATTGTCTCAGAACCACTAGGAAGTCCTGTTTCTAAGTTGGATGCTGAAGAATTACATTTTCTTTTTTTAACTTTTTGGAAAGGTAAATTAAATTCAATTCCTGCAAAGAAAAGAACAAAGTAACAGTATATGTGTTAGCTACGCAGAATCATAGAGTTGGAAGGGACCCCAAGGTCATCTAGTCCAACCCCGTGCACAAGGCAGGAAATTCACAAATACCCCCCCTAATGACCCCCATCATGTTTAGAAGATGACCCCAAAAACCCCCAAAACAAAACAAAAAAAACCAAACAAACAAAAAACCAAAACCCTCCCGGATCCCCGGCCAAACTGGCCTGGAGAAAAATCGCTTCCTGACCCCAAAGTGGCGATCAGCATTTCCCTGGGCGTGTAAGAAAGGGCTATAAGAACTAAGCACTGAGGCAACCCTTCCTGCCCTCCCTCTCATGGTCTGCCTAAGTTCATAGAATCAGCATTGCTGTCAGATGGCCATCTAGCCTCTGTTCAAAAACCTCCAAAGAAGAGCCCACCACCTCCCGAGGAATCCTGTTCCACTGAGGAACCAGTGTAACAGTCAGGAAGCCCTTCCTAATGTTTAGCCAAAAACTCTTTTGATTTAATTTCAACCTGTTGGTTCTGGTCCATCAGAAAACAACTCTGCACCATCCTATATATGGCAGTACTTGATGGTTATCATATCACCTCTTAGTCGTCTTCTCCGCAGGCTAAACATACCCACCCTTTCCTCATAGGACTTGGTCTCCAGACCCCTCACCATTCCAGCTTGTCTATATCCTTCTTAAATTGTGGTGCCCAAAACGGAACACAACACTCTACGTGAGGTCTAACATGCTAGTGGGCTCAATAAGTCACTGAGACTTTATATAAGATAGGTTCTCCTACCATCGTTTTTCATGGCTTCTCTTAAACCTCTGGTTGTGGGAGAAATCAGTGCAGTGATCTTATCATTTCCAGCAAGCCCTGCTGCACGGAACAGCACAGTGAACTGGTAAGTGCAAACGTAGAAATAGGGACACAGTCTGGCTCTCAGCAGATTATAAAGTGAGGTAAAACTGAGAGACCTGCAAGTTAAAGAACATCATACAGAACTGGTCAGCCTCATATTTGAAAGCAGCAAAACAAGAGGGTTATCTAACAGTTAAGACAAAATAAAACAAAACAGTTAAAACAAAAACAAAGGTCATAGCTGCTCATTACTTATCCATCAGCCAGTAAATGCTTGTGACACTCTCAAAACCATATTTCACTAAGCAGTCACAATAGATATATAGAAAAGCATTGAACTTTCCTTAGGTACAGATGTTGCACTTTCAGAAGATAAGAAAATGCACTGCCCTAACTAAATTATGCTTATCTTGAAGACACATGAACTCTGGACAGATATACCCTGTAGCATAGTGGCTGCATGGAAAGGTGCAAAGCAGTACAAATTACCAGGAAGTAGTTAAATGGTATAGCATAAACACTACCAAGTACGTATTGGAAAGCCTTGAATTCAAACGTTGTCTTCGCAGTGAACTTGCTTGGTAGCTATAGGCAACCCACTATTTTCCTCAGGCCCAAAACACCAACCTGCATGACAGGAATGTTTTTCTAACAGCAGCTCTTAAACTGGTACTTTGAACATATGAAATGTGCTATGTAAGTACAACATACTACCAAAGGTAGAGTAAAAGGGGTGCTTAGCTTTTTCCACAACCTGCTGCTACTGTGCCCAAAATTGCTCTTCCCCCCGGGGATTTTTTACTTGTCGGTTGAGTATGCATTTCATTTCAACTTACCATTCACTCATAAGAACTTGCTGCAGTGCTTCATCGTGGGACCAAGGACTGTATTTTCCAGCAACTTTTCTGTCTGCACCAATACGAGGAAACAGCTGTAGCCATGGCAAGAAGGGATGAAGCCAATATACGAGGCTTTGCTGGAGAGCACATCGAAGCTCTGTGGAGAGTTTTGGTTCCTAAGATTGCAATATGTTAAGTTACATGCAGAAAGATTATTTACAAGAAGTTCAAAAGCATTTACAGCAATATTCACAATTAGAAGCAAGTATTATCTTAAACTATTTAATATGTGAATTTTTATCTGTCTTACAACATTTCTTACACAGAATCTGAAATGCAACTTCACAATCCCCCTCTAATGCCAAGCCTTTTTCATACTCCAAAAGGCTCATAGGATAATAAACTCTATTTTACTGCATTCTTCATAAAATGAAATGCCAAATATCTATACGATCTGGATATTATAAGACCAGGATCAATGGAAAGTGTCTACACAACCATTATCACATGCCCACAAATATTTGTATGCCCTGTTCAGTTTTTCCAGAGGTCAAAGGCTATCTACAGAATCTCTAAAACTTTCCTTTTGTAATTAGTATGATTTGATAAATTACTTAATATAAATTGTTTCTGTAATTGGAGGTCTTATATTTGGCTCCACTTTTAAATTCAGTATGCCATGCTGTTTCGTAGAGCTGCTTCTTAATGCAATGTTATAAAGAAAAAAAGGAGGGAGGGAAAAGATTTTACTAGCTTGCAAGACAGCAATAAGCAGTATGTTGTTTCTTTTTCTCCTGATATATATTTTTATAATTGAAAAACAAAATACGGATACAGAAAGAAAAAAGGGAAAGGGGCAAAAGTGTAGAAAAAGGCCCTAAGAATGTTCACTTAGCCTCAACTAGGGCCAGGGCCTTCTCTGTCCTGGCCCCCTACCTGGTGGAACATGCTCCCATTTGAAATCAGGGCCTTGCGGAACTTATTACAGTTCTGCAGGGCCTGCAAAATGGAGCTGTTCTGCCAGGCCTTTAGTTGAGGCAGTGCATACCCAACTAGCTGGCCTCCCTGTACAGAGCCCATATAGAGACTGCCCTGTATAGAGACAGGTGTGAATCATCTACCTATGGAGTCTCGGGATTATGTAAAGATGACTCCAGTATCATCTATCCGGTTTCTGGGGGGGTTGAATTATTCCTTGCCATCTTTTAACTGTTTCTGGTTTTAGTTGTTTTTACATCAATTGTGTTAACTGATTTTTATTGTTATATGCCTTGATGCCCCCCCCCCCGAGCCCGTTTGGAAAATTGGGCATATAAATTTAATAAATAAAAAAAACACATATAGCATTTAAAATATGTAATATACAGCATATTCATAATATTCAGGATTATTTTCTCTCTCAATCATGATGAAACTTGTAATTAGACCGATAAACACTTAATAAACTATATGAATTAATTGGCTTAAAATCAGGAATTTATTTAATGGTAACTATCAGATACTGAATATTTAGAGTTAGCATAACAATATATTAATTTTTGAATAGTTTTAAAACATTAACACACAAGTGTCAAACGCATTTGCTATAAGGGCCGGATTGGACATAAATGTCACTTTGTTGGGCCAGACCATAGTGTGCCATAAAACATAACACAAGGTATTGGAGATATAAACTTTATAATGATGATTTCAAATGCTGAATGGCAATAGCAGGCTTGATTGGATTAGGTGTGATATAGAAAGGGGTAATATGTGTGGAGATATCTGCATTGGCAATGAGACAAAAAAACCTAGGTCTCAATTTGGTCCAGGAAGATTCAGTCCAGGAGGATGCAAAGAATAAATAGAAATAAGTCTGAAGAAGTGAACAGTGACTCACGAAAGCTCATACACCAGCACAAATTTTGTCAGTTTTAAAGTGCTACTGGACTCTTACACTTTCTACTGCTATTAGAAACTATAACGTTCAAAAACCAGTGGGAGCACATTTTAACCTTCGACATTCAGTTGCTGACCTAAGAGCAGCGGTTCTGTTACAAAGAAATTTCAAGAGATTAGAGAGACTGCTGAATTGCAACTGATAATGAAGCTCAAGACAATGCATCCTCCAGGACTTCCTCCTCAGAGGAGGGGGAGGGGAGGAACCCTCAGCCAATCCAGGGAAAAGACACTTGACTTTCTTTCTCTCCCCTGGAAGCAGGAAGCTGGAGAGAGCTGGGCAATAGTAAGCTGTGATGCAGAAAGCAGGAGGGAGCCATTTGCTCATGGGCCGTATGTTTGACACCCCTGCATTAATATATCTTACATATACTTGTAATCAAACTATAGCTAAAAAAAGCAAGCAATGCATTTTAAAGATATTTCAAAAAAGTAGAGTATAAGCTAAACCTACATCTTAAACTGATTATATGGAAGATATTATATCATCAAATACTTATAATACTAAATATATTGATTATACTAATCAGTTAGCTAGTATACATAACTCTAAACTGAAAATATAGCAGAATCTAAAGAAAAACAGCATTTCAGTGACTTCATACAGATCAGAACCAATAAAAGTAATCTGTATTACTTATCTTTCATCTTTATAATAGGCATAATAAGTTTTCCATTTCCTTTTAAATTTCTTGATCAATCTTTTGTTTATATAACTCATTAGTCTGGCCATTACCGCATATTCTGCCATTAGCAATATGTAGTTTCTTAAAAAGAAGATTCAGGATGCTTTTTGCAAACTAATTATGTTTCTTATGATAGAAAAATGCAGGATACCTTGATTAACACTCAGGCCCTGACCTCTAGGAAAATGTACTTTCCTGGGAAATTAATCAGCTCCTGAAATATTACACTGAGAGGCATCTCCATTATGGAGAATGCAGATGACCACTTCCCAGGAAGGGGCAAGATTGATGGCTACTTGGATAACCTGATTTTGGAACACACACCTTGATTATATTGGCAAAAAGGTGGAAAGGGCTACACTCCCAGTTTCATAGTAGGTTAAAGTGAAACCCTCCCAGCTGGGACATGAACAATTAACGGTTCTGGATATCCTGTTAGAGGTGTGCAAGACAAGGACTGAGGGAAACAAATGAAGTCTGTCTTGACCAGCCTCTATTTTCAGAATTCCAAGGATGAGAATGCCAAGGTAACACCACTGTTACTTAGTGTTATATTTAACTTCTTAGTTCTGTAGCACCCCGTAGTATTTTGATATAGGTTTTCCATTCCCTCGTGTTCTAGTGAACTGAGACTATATTTTTGTAAATAAAGATCTTTTTCTTTTAAAGATCTCGGGCTGTAGTCAAAGTCAGGTCATCTGACTGCTCATTCCATGCATAGACTAGAAACACTTGACTGGGCTACAGACATTTAGCAGGCCAAGGAGGACGTGTGTAAAGTAGTTCACAAAACACAAGCACGCACATAGGCCCTATCTGTTCCTCAAGCTGCAAGTAGAAAAAGGTATGGGGTTAAATATAAAAAAATCAACTGCTTTGGAAGCACATAAACTTTATGTAATATCTCTGATTTTCCATGTTTCCCAGTTAAGGGGGAAATTATGCAAATTAAATTACAAAGATAATCTGACTTCAATGGTAACAAGAAAAATTTTATTTACACAAAGAGGGGGGGGGGATTTATACCCAAAGGTGTCTCAGAGTGGCTTACAATCCCTACCCTACCATATGAGGTAGATGAGGCTGAGAGAGCTCTTTCAAGAACTGCCCTTGAGAGAACAGCTCTGAAAGAACTGATGACTGACCCTAGGTCACCCCAGCAGCTGCATGTGGAGGAGTGGGGAATCAAACCCAGTTCTCCTAGAGTCCAAGCTCTTAACCATTACACCAAACTGGCATATCTTACATGACATATTCATGTAGGTACATTTAACTTATTGTGAACAGATTAACCTCAAAAAAGATTAACTTGCTACAGCTCCCAGCCCAGATAAAAGAAAGGTCCTATATAAAACAGAAGACAAGCCATGGCCAAAGAGGCTCAACATCTAGCTGATGAGAGGTTGGGACCAACTGCCAAGTGTACTCGAGAGAATTCTCTTAACCCTTTCCCTCCCAGATCCCCTTGTTTGCAGAGTTACAATATCCAACAAAAAGGACATAGTGGTTGTGGCTACCAAAGTAAGCTGAGTGAGAAGGGAGGGCTGGGGAAATAAGCAGCCCTCTCTCACACATGCAGATTTCCTTCTGCCTCTGGCAAAAAAAAGTGGCACAAAAAAAGGAATGGGTCACTTTATAATGTACCTAGCATAGAACATTTTGTGCTGCACCAAAGCATCCTGGGACAGAGGAACAATGGCTATTCCCCTGGAAAAAAGAACACTGTCATTTATTCAAATCCATGCCTGCTACTAAGCAAAATTCACAAGCCACTTAGAAGGCAGAAAAGAGAAGTAAAGAGAAAACATAGCCCTTATGTTAGCAAAGGTGGATATTAGTGCAAGCACTATGTCTAGAAACCAGGTTGAAATCCAGTATTCTATTTTGACTCAGTTCAGCATGATCAGTCATCAATCTCATTGGTAACATCGGAAAGCAGAATTTTAGACCACCTATTACATATTTACAATTTTTTAAAAGTACTCTTCCTTAGTGTGATAGTCCAGTGTCTGGACTATTTTGCTCAATACATAGTTCTAAACCCAGGGAGGCAAAGATCCAGGAAATGGGTCTGGCTGTTCATATTTACAACATTTAGCTCTGTAAACAAGTGTATTTATTACAGAAATTGCACAAATACCCTTTGTTACTTTCCATCTCAAGGTAGATGGGATCAAGTCTTTACAATCCACAGTCAAACAGAATAAGTTACCTGAATACTTTGGGGCAGGTTTATTGATGTGGCTCTGCAGTGTTGGACATACCCTTGAGATTCTTCTTGTGCTTTTAAATGATCCGCCCAGGCAAACGAATGGGGAGATTTGAAGAGCAGACGAGTTTTAATGCTCCAATCTGTAGGAAATTCGTAACTTGGTGAAGAAACTTCAGTATGGGAAGTGTTCTGATGTGGGTCCTTGCAAAACACAAATACTGAAAGTTACAACAAAGCAGCTGCTTTATTAATGCCCACCAGTACAATATTTAGAAAGCGACCTCCTTGTCAGCATGAAGAACAAAGTAGGCCTACATCTGCACCAATGATCATCAGCATTAGCTTTTAACCACAGTTTGAAATCTGGAAGGAGGAAGACTCATTTCATAGGACTAGCTTGCTAAAACTGCAGGAAGAAGGAAGGCTGCTGCTTAGGAGACCTTTCCCAGTGCTGGACAGGTTCAATCTACTTGTAAAAAAAAAATGGACCATAAAAAAGAAAATATTACTGAAATGGCAGAGCATTGTCTGTATCAGTGTTTATATAAACTTAGGGATAAATTCTTCAGTTGTATTTATTCCCCTTCCCTTCTTCTACTGCTACCCAATGAACCCTTAACCCTGACTTTTATTTAGTTCCCAACCACTCTCTCTGCTCATGTTCCACAAAGGCATAAGTGACTACAGTTTACCCAGTAGAACCCCCAGAAAAGTTACACATTGGATAAGTTATGATCTCATGCTTTAACACAAAGATTACTGGATCCAGTTGGAGCCGTATATGCATTCTTAGGTATGCAGAGCAGTCTACAAATGCAGTTCTCTGCTCATAAAACACCTTGCATATGAGAAGACCACTCCTGCACATACAGCACCATGTGGCTAAGTTTCATGAGATAAAAATTCAAACATCCTCAAGGATCTAGCAGTTGTAGAGATACTTACATCAAAGGCTGGAGGTGATGTTTCATAAAACTCTTGTTTCACAATGGTCTTGCCTTCCTTAAGACCATTTAAGAACTAGGAAAAAAAATTGTAACAGGCACCTGTAATTCTTATATGAGCAGGCTTGTGCTTATTCTGGGACTACTTAACACAATTCATCATTCCATTAGATCTTTACCATACCTGTATTTGTTGAAATTGTTTTAATTAAAAGGGGTCCAAGTACTTTGATTCTCATTTGTTTCAGTGAGCAAAAATTAACTGTGTGCATAAATTTCTATCAACACCAAGAGACCAACACTCTGGACCATCCTATCTTGACCCGGGATGTCACCGCCACCAGCACTTTATTCTATTTTGTATTGTGATTTGTTATGTCTATATGTTTTATGAAGCTGCATTGTATTAATAGGTATTTGTGTTTTAATATATTTTTAACCCTTTTAATGTAAGCCGCCCTGAGCCTGCCTTGGCAGGGAGGGCGGGATAAAAATAAAATAAAATAAACTCAGCAAGGCTTATTAATTTTAATACGATCATGGAAAAACGTAATAGTCAACATAGAATTAATACACTATTGTAAACGAGTCTGGCAAGTCAGTTAACTCTTTCAATCCAATAAACATTATGTAAGTAGATTTCTTTTAAATCTGTAAGGTGAAGTTATATAAATGCTTTATAGCCTTAAGAGGCTGCTGTTGGCAAAAAACGCTTTCCATTTTTAACAATTACCAAATGACTGGTAGAAGTCATTTGTTTGCAAGAGTCAACCTTAGTCCTGAGATAAACTCAGATGCCAGAACTACAGGCGTATCTCGACGGTGGCTTAAATTGTTACCATGCCCCCTTCCCTTCTGATATGCCTCGAACCATTTTCTATATGGTTATGTCATGTGATAGATGACCAAATCCTCGGAAGGAAAAAGAAAGGGCAGAACGTTACCTCTTCGCCAGAGCCGGTGCGGGCGTCGTTCCCAGTGGATGGCGGCTCCTTCTCCACTACTCTCTGCGTCGGAGAGAAACACTGGCTGGGCCCTTGGGGAAGCGGCGAGCGCGGAGTATTCTCCAGGCTCGAAAAAGGGTTGCGCCTGCGGATGCCGGGAAAGGGCCGAGGGGAAAGAGCGAGGTCTCCGAGAGGGCTGGAAACGGCCGCGGTGGGCGACTGCCCGGTGGAAGGGGCTGGCTGGCTCCTCTGAAACCTTTTCCGCTTCAGACGCAGCGTCCGGGGGGGCTTCTTGAAGCCTGGCGAATAGTCGGGGACTACCGAACACATGGCGGCGGCAGCGGCGGTGGAGAGTCTCCAAAGAAGAAAACCTCTCTGGCCAGTCGGGGCCTCGGAAACGAATTTGGCGCGTAAAAGTGAACGCTCCGCCCACAGGCGGGCCCTGCTCCTTCTCTTTGCCCGCGCAGCAGCCAGCCAATCCCTAGTGAGCTTTGCTCCCCACTCTTCTCCTGAGCCCGCCTTGTAGTTGTGCGGTAGTGGCGGAGGAGGGCGCAAACGGTGGCAGGTGCTGGGCTGCAGTTTCTCCTGCTCCTAGCAAGGATGTCTGTGGAGAATGGAGGGAGGTCTTTTTCCGCCGGTGCCGCCCCCCGCCCCGTGTTGCGTTAGGGCCCCCAAACAGGATTCAGTGAGCTGGTAGAATTCCACCGAAACGCCAGTGCTACTAATTGCTAAGTGGCACCAACAAAGTGTTGTTCTGGGTATAAGCTTTTGTGTGCACGCACACTTCTTCAGATACATTGAAACTGAAGTCACCAACCTGTTTTAATGTATCTGAAGAGTGAAGAAGCATGTGTGCACAGGAAAGCTCATACCTTGAATAAAACTTTGTTGGTCTTAAGGGTGCCACTGGACTCAATCTTTGTTCTGCTGCTTCAGATCAACATGGCTGCCCATCTGAATCTAAAATACTGAAAGGTGATCCCCCCACCCTAGTAGTATTTCTTTAAGGTCTATGAAGACAGAAGGTTGAGGCAGGAAAGATAGCCGTAATGTAGACAGAGAAGGGAAAGACGTGATGTATTGGTCTGAAACTGTTATAGTCTATGCATATGTTTAATGCCACCAATGATATACAAGATTTTGTAAAACGTTTCAATCTCTGGCTTTGTTATAATACAAAGATAATAGGCAGTTTTAGATATTTAAAAGCTTGGAGCTTTTTGCCCCATTACTTATGTAATTTGAAAATTTGGTCACTGGCTAAAAAATTTAAGGACGGTGTAAAAGCTGGAGTAAATAATATTACTGCAAAACATAATGGGATGTGTTAAAGACATCTGAGAGCATTATTTTAGAAATGAAAGTATTGAAATATGCTCTTATTAATCCTTTCCCAGCTGCAATGCATCCAAAACAGTAGGGAATGGGCATTTTATATGCATTTGTATGGCAGAAACAATAGGATAAGTCAGAGACACTGAACAGTAATATTGTAGAAATAAGGGTAGAGCACTGTAAATTACATCACTCCCTTCCCAACCAAAATTCATTTTAAACCAAATATACATTAAAATGCCAGATTCTAAGGAAGCAAAACCATCCAAATGCATGTCATATAGGCCTAGGTGGCACTGATGCACCAAGCTACAAAAGTCCCACAGAATATATCCGTGTTCTAGTATCCTTTCATTTACTTTTCTGTAGAAAAACAGAACAGAATTGACACTTTGGTCTATGCCCATCAAATTCACAGGTGCCAGAGACCTAATAATGATTGACACTCCTTATTAGTTTATTTATGTTATTTATAGTCTGCCCTTCTCACTGAGAATGAAAGCAGAGTATACTGTGAATCAATGTTGTCAATAAAATGAGGCATTTAATAATGTAATGGGACTAGGATTTCAGAAGTCTAAAAAACCCAGAAATTGAACAAGTAATGTGTATTAAATATGACATTAAACTAGCAGAAAATGGTATTTATATGAGAAATACAGTGCTGATAATAACCAGGTGGTCAGACTGGCCAAGTCAAGTTGGGTGCCATTTTCTGGGCTAAACTAAGTTGGAAGAAAGTGGTTTTTTTCCTGGCTCCATTAGCTTGCTTCTCCAGCAATAATGCTTGGTCTTATATAATCCCTAGGCTCTTAACAGTCAGCAAGGATCAGCTGTACTTGATCAAAGGTGGGAAACGTTATGTCCAAGACCTCAGGCTTCCCAGCCCACATTGCCTCCATCTTGTAAGAATTCTGTTTCAATATATTTGCAACCCTTTGAGTCCAGTCCATAAGGAATTATTTGTACCAGTCCAGAGCACATCCACTGGTACCTATCTCTACTTCCAAATGCCCTAACAATATGGCATGGTCCATTGTATCAAAGGCAGCAGACAAATCCAGTCAGAGCAACAAAGAGGCCATGGCCTTTGTCTGCTTTCAGATGGAGATTACCAGCTGAAGTTACCAGCACCATCTGCATTCCATACCCTTGCCTGAAATGAGACTGAAAAGGATCTAGAACACATTAATTATCCAAGAAGGCTTTAGGTTTGTCCACCACTGCTCTCTCAGTGACCTTGCCCAGGAAGGGCAGATTAGACACAGGGTGATAACTGAACACATCACTTTCCTGTATGGGTAGTTTTTTAAAGAAGTGATTTATAATGGTCAACAATGACTTGTTAAGAAGGTCACAACCAGAAAGGACATGGTTCTAGAGCACAGAAGTGGTGGTAGCCTTTGCAGATCCAGGAGCTTGTCAACATTCATCACAGTAACTGAGTCAAATAGTCCATAAATGTTACAACCAGCATCCAAATCAGAATGCATTTGAGAGATTTCTATCAGAAAAAAAACTTTGCAAAAGCATCATCATTAGTTTTCTGTTCCTGGGACAGCAACAGTTCAAATTTTGGAGTCAGTAGATGCTGAAATGCCACCTCTCCACCAGGGCTCTAAATCTACTCCTCTGCTTTTGTTGTTGTTGTTCAGTCGCACAGTCGAGTCCGACTCTTCGCGACCCCATGGACCAGATCACGCCAGGCCCTCCTGTTTTCCGCTGTCCTCTGAAGTTTGCTCAATTTCATGTTCGTTGCCTCTATGACACTGTCTAACCATCTCATCCTTTGCCGTCCCCGTCTTCTTTGACCTTCAATCTTTCTCAGCATCAGGGTCTTCTCCAGTGAGTGCTCCCTTCTCATTTGGTGGCCAAAGTACAAATCCAAGTGACTGTAAGCCAATCAGAACCCAAGGAGCTCCACTGGATGGGAGGAGGTAAGCAAGGGAAAGGGAAGATTTCTTCCCTCAGACAGTGAATTGTGGCTCTGGATAACAGCATCATCTTAGCCAGGTTTTTATTTGGCTTTTAGTTAGGGTTTGGGTCAGCTTAGGGAAAAAAGTTTTAATGAGAGAATAAGCATCTTGTTAAGGGACCAACATTCCTAACTTACGGATACAGGTTCAGCGGACAGGAGCTCTGTGTGGTGAAAGAGCAACCTTGAACCTGGGCAGTATCCTGTCAGTTGTGAAAATAGGTTCCAGTTAAACCTTTTAAACTGAGGTAACATGTCTGAAGAAAGGGGAACTAAATTTATTTATTTATTATTTATTTTAGATTTATATCCCACCTTGCCTGCCATGCAGGGTTCCCCTCAGGGTTCATTTACATTACTTGAGGCTCAGCAACAAAGTCGTTACTCTCATGGGGAAATTTTGTAACCGGTGTGTGTGTGTGTGTGTGTGAAGTTGAGACCCAGTTTCACAATATCTACTGAAGCAATCCACACAAAACATTTACTCTGTTCAATACTTTGTTTTCTGTTAAATAAATCGTTAATTTCTATCTGTGTCTTGTCACATATCCACAGAAAAAACTATTTCTGCTTACTTCATAAATAGCAGATTCCCAAATAAGTGACCTTTAGTGAGCACATAGCTTACACACCACCAGCCCTTTAATCAAATCCTGTGTCCCCCTTCTTATCTTGATTGTGGGTGGCTGAGGTTTAAAGTGTCTATAGGAGAAGCCAGAAGTGGGGGACTGGACATTTTCCAGTCCAGCAGTCAGTCCCCTCAGAGTCCACACCCCCTCTTCTCTCCCCCCATAGCTGTCAGAACAGTCTACATACCTGACAATTGGTTTGCACAGAATAGTCTGTCCACTTCTAATTTCATTGAGTACATAGTGAATTCTGATAGTAGTTCAAGCATCAAGGAGAGTTACATGAAAAAGATAACAGTGCATGGAACTGTAGCTCATTGGTAGAACATCAGCTTTGAATGCAGAAAGTCCCACATTCAAACCCTTGAATCTCCAGTTAATCAGTATCTGAACAAGTGTACATGCACACAAAAGCTTATACCCAGAATTAAACTTTGTTGGTCTTAAAGGTGCCATTAGACTCAAACTCTGTTCACTTGACACCTTGCCAGTCACAGCAGATGCTACTGACCTTTATAGACCAATGGTCTGACTCAGTATGACACCTTCAGACATACATGTACTTTTCCCAACTATCTGCATACCCTGTTCTTGCTGTCTTTTTGCTCTCTCTCCCTGGCATGACGCAGACTAGCCTTGACCATCTTGGTCTCACCTGATTTGTGAGCGTTGTGCCAGGGAGACAGCAAGAAGACTGCAAGGGAAGTAAAGGGCACATAGGTTCAACAGTGTGAGTTAGAGACAACCCTACATGCTCAAGAGATTAACTGTATGTCGTGTAAGGTGGCACACAGGACATGCAGTAGTCATGTGGATCTTTTGGTGGTTGGTAACTGCAAATGTGGCTCTCTGTGACCCATGGAGTAAGTACAATGTGTTAGTGGGATATCAGATGTCACACAACACCTGTTTACACAGAACCCAATCCCATTCCTTTGAGTAGGATTTCTATGTACATGTTTTTAGCTTATGTGACAGTGAATCAAAATTGTAATGAACATTAAAAAGGATTTTAAGTTTGAATTATGAGATTTTTTTCCAGGGTTAGTCGTATATTAAAACTCTTCAACAGTAGTAATATCACAGGAGAATCAGAAAGTCATAGCAAAACCACCATGAAAATCAAGTCAGTTTAAGAAAGCGCTTTCGGATGTCCTTGCCAACATGAACAGTTTTCCACTTATACCCTTCAATTTTAATAAGATTTTCCTCCTCTTGGCTTCATCGAAAACAGTATGCAGAAGTCCCAATAAAACAAAAATACTACCAAATATAAAAAAAGAACTATGACAGAAACATATATCACCTCTTCAAGACAAAGATTTTACTTTGGGAAGGGAGAGAGAAGATTAAGACTGAATTTATAGTTTAGAAATTGCTACAGACAAAATGAAAGCTCTGACCAAAAACCTCCAATTTCTCCCCAAGATGTAAAAAGAATCTTAAAATAGTAATTGTATAATTAGCTAAAGATTTACTTATTCAGTGACCACTACTGTATACATACACACTATACAAAAGTGCAGCCTTAGAAGCTAGAAATATGTGCTTCACAGCTGGACAACTTGTTTTTTTCTTGCTTGATTCTTCTGAACCATTTCCATAGCAACTTTAGCTTCGTACAATGGGATTGGCTCATCCAAATTAGGCCTAAAAGAGAACAATCAGAAGTGTCTGGAATGTATGCTCAGATGAAAAAACACATTTCAGGACAATTGCAATAGACTTTACATTTTAGTAGTGCAAACCTTACTGCTCAAGGAAAATGAATGTGTTATAGTTTCACGAGGTTCCCTGGAAGCACACAGAGAAGCACAGCAAATAGAAAGCAATGTATTACATCTTATATTCTAATAGCAAAGTTGGCAAATCTTTGGATACTTAAATCCGGTGACTGGACCTGTGAACGGGCAAGACAGATCTTTCTACAAACCTGAAAAAGGATCCAGGTTTGCAGAAAAATATGAAATAAAACCACCACCACCACACAGCCTTGGGAAGTTTTTAAAAATCCAAATATGATAAAAGAAGTGCCTGTAGCTTTAAAAAACATATTTCATCAGTGGCTGTTGCTAGGCAACCACGGTATTTCCTACTGGGGTTTTGTGAGTAAAAAGGCAGAGGGAGGGGGCAGGCCCTTTCCAGGCCTATTTTGGCCTTTGAGGGAGGATTCATGGGAGCCAGGCCTGACTCAGGTTGCCAGGTCCAGGTTGAGAAATTCCTGGAGATTTTGTGGTGGACTCTGAGGAGGGCAGGATTTGGGGAAGGGCATAATGCCACAGAGTCTACCCTCCAAAGTAGCCATTTTCTCTAGAGGCAGATCCCCATTGTCTGGAGTTCAGCTGTAATTCTGGGGGATCTCCAGGTGCCAGCTGGAGACTGGCAACCCTAGGCCTAATAGCAGCTTCTAAGTTACTTGATACCACCTGACCTACATGACTCAACTAGGCCTGGCTTTTTGCTATTGTTCAACAGCAGTCATCTTATGAAAGCCAGTGGGTTGCAGCAGTTAGAGCTTCAGAGTAGGGTCTGTGAGACCCAAGGTTGGATCCCCATCTTGCTGTGGAAGCTCACTGGGTGATTTTGGATGAGTCACATACTTTCAGCCAAACCTACCTCACAAGGTTGTTGTGTGAACAAAAGGGAGAGGAGAAGCTGCTTTGGTCTCCACTGTGGAGAAAGACTGTAGTTTTCCTAGGTAGAGCTGCAGAGGGGTAGGAGATGGAATGCTGAAGACAGGGCAGATAAAGGTACACTGGCTTTCGAGTGGGAAGGAGACAGTGTTGCCAACTCCAGGTTGGGAAATTCCTGGAGATTTGGGGGATGGAGCCTGGGAAGGATGGGGATTGAGGAGGGGAGGGACCTCAGAAAGGGTATAATGCTATAGACAGTACCCTCCAAAGCAGCCATTTCTTCCAGGGGAACTAGCATTGACAACCTCCAGGTGAGGGCTGGAGATATCTCAGAATTATAACTGATTTCCAGATGAGACATCAGTTCTCCTGGAGGAAACTGCTGTTTTGGACGGTAAACTCTACGCTACTGAGGTTGCTTCCCTCTCCAAACCTCACCCTCCCAAGGGTTCACCCCCAAATCTCCAGGAATTTCTCAGGAAACCCTAAGGGGAACTGTTCTCTTTAGTCAGGAGATCCATTGTGATTTCTGGAGAGCCACCCCACCACTGCTGCGAGAGGGGGGGAGGTGGATGCCTGGGAGCACTGCTGCCACCACTTCTGCTGGGGGGGTAGGAAGCAGGCAGGAGTCCGGTAGAGTGATGGGGAGGCAAGGAAGAGAGAGTTATGGGGTGGGAGGCTGAAAGAGAGAGTGAGAGAGTGGTGGGGTAGGGCAGAAAAGAAAGAAAATGATGGGGTGGGGGCAGAAAGTGAGAGAAAGTGACAGGCACAGAGGAGAGGGTAAGAAAAGGGGTGGCAGGAGGGAGAAAGAGTGAGAAGGGGGAGAAGCACAGGTGGGGGGAATGGGTCCCCACTTATACATTTGTAGTGTTAAAGATAATTCAACTGTACTTCACAGTAGCTATGAGCATGCACATGGAGCGGGTAGCAAAGCCCAAGAATAAACAGGCTGTTTTCAATATCATGCATTGGCACATAAGCCTGATGTTAAATAGGCTTCTTTTACCACATAGGAGCACAAGCAGATTGTCCCAGAGCAATTTTCATTGACTGTGGAAATAACTCAATTACATTGCATTTTTAAATATGACATACGAATTTTGCCTCAGTATTTGGAACCAACAAGTAGGCTTTGGGAGCGCACGTTCTACTGTCACGTCACAATGCAAAAATGTTACTGTCTCAAATTTACATTTTCCTTTAGTGCTATTTAAGTGACCTATGGTAAGCAGCTTTGTTGAACCCCAACAGTACTACTACAGAAAAGCTCTCCCTAACATTTAAGGGACTGTTGCTCACAGCGTCAAAATTTCTCATCTTTATTTTGCTATAGGGCAGTTTGCCTAGCTCTCTTATTGTAAGTAGTGTGCCCCTCACCTTTCACCCTCCAATACCACCAATATAGGAATTTCCCCCTCCCCAACCTCATAATTAGCTACTAGGCTGGATGGACACAAGCAGCAAATCACTTGCTTCCAATTAGTCAGTCAATGGGCAGAATAAAAGCTCTGTTGTTATGGTTCCATGGCCGCATGAGGCAGTATGCATGCTCAAGTCTTCATGGGGGAGGGGGTGGGTACAGAAGCAAAAAGTCATTGTTCTGCATATTTTGGAGGTTTTCAGTATGCAGAAACATCCCTGTTGTTCATTGGTGGCCCTGTTAGGCTGTGTCTGTGATCAGCAGGGGCCACCAGTTTTACTGTTGAGGGAACAAGTTGAGTGATGCAAGAAATTAAGAGAACTGCTGGGCCAATTAGGAAGGCAACACACAGTTTGACATTCTAACCACTATGCTGGCCCTCTTAAGCAGGGATCACAAGTGGATTCATCTTTCTAAAGATTCACTGTTTTGCAAAATAATAATGAATGAATGTTGTTGCCAATGTGCTGTTAGACAAGCTTGGCAGTTTCAAAGTCATAATTATTGTTATTCCAGGGAAGACAAAAGCAAAAATACATATAATAATCAAAATTAAAACATTATGAATTCATGCAACCATTGTGCAGGTCAAATAAAAACCAAAGCTAAAATTATTATTTATATGTCTCCTCTTACATAGTGGAAGGGATACTGTAATCACCAGTTTGATATGGACCAGTTTGATATGGATAATGCAAATGTTGGGGTGTCCCAGTGAGGAGCTGTACCACATTTATCCTAATTCCCCCCCTCCAGTTCCCCAGGATAAGATAACACATTAATGGTTCTGTTTCCTTTATGGTTTAAAGAACCGTAGGGAATTCAATTAATTAGAATGTGGAAGCTATTTTAATCCAGTCCTACCCTCCTCCAAAGGTCTTTTACTTTCAAAATGGGCAGAGTCCTTAAAGGTTTACAACAATTTTAGGGTGCTGTCAGGGAGCAATTAGGGCTATGTGACCAACCAATATTTCATTCCCATACCAATAGGCACTCAATTCTGAATGAGTAATAGAAGGAACCTGCAACTAATCATTGGGAAGAAGAGAAATATGTGCTTTTGAGTTCTGACAGCAGTACAAATCTCCCCAATCCTCCAGGATACTATAAACCAAGGGTAACAGAATCTTCCTTGATTGGAACCAAGTGGGCCATACTGTGGAAGTATGACATCATCAGGCACCAGTAGGGTTACCCCTCCACTCCAGCCCCCACACTCCCTTAATGGAGCAGAAGGAGCAAAATGAGGTGGTAGTACATGCTGTGATACAAATAATCCTGCCTGGCAACCCTTGGTCCCAGCCTATATCATCATCAAGCTTTGCATCAATAAGTCAAGGTTTGAAATGATAGGCTTTGGCAACACTTATAGCTTAGCTGTATCATCAGATAGGGTGACAGATAGTATTGCAAATTTCTGGCTAATGAAGCCTAAATTTGCCTTGGGGTTGTATAGGAAAGGGGGGAGGGGGTTTACTGTTTCTACACATGGGTTTTACTATTTGAAACCTGTCTCCCTACTTTATTGATATATGGGGGGTATTTTTGTGTTTTTCATATGTCCATGTGTGCGTATGTGTGCGCCTGGAAGTCATGGTAACTGACCCCTACTGGGAGCTTGGAGGATATTCAGAGAGGTGGCAGTACTACAGTGTACAGTTCTCTTGGATTCACACAACTAATTTCATCGTACTTTGGATCCTAGTCAATAGCTGCAACTATGTATCATACATGTTTATTAGAGAAATACCCATGGATTTTAAGTGACATGGAGCTACACAAAGAGCAAACATTATTTATGTTGCAGCTTGTAGAAATCTATTTCAGGAATATGACATACCTAAAAACACCACTTGATAACTTCTCCATTATATCTTCTAGAATACGTATATAAGAGGTTTGTCAAGGAAAACAACATATCTGTGAGCAGGTCTTCAACTTGTATATGTGCTAGTACTCTCATAATCGCAGTGCTATTATAGGCTGTATTTGGTTATCCTTAAAAACAGTATTTTTATTTTAAAACAATAGCAATGTGTTTTGTATTAAATAGCAATCAACTAACCCATATCTCATGAGAGTCTTATTCCTTGACCCATCAGTAGCATGCCCATCAATGTGATAGGCAGCATTTACTTTCTCCTCTAGAAAACTATGGAAGCCATTTGGCTTGTTTGCAAGCAAGTAAAGTGCTGTATTGGGGAAGAGCTAGAGTAGAGAGGAAAAACTCCTCTCCCCAGCAGTCCGAACATTAATGACGCCAATTGTTAGGCGCAGGAGGGCAGGATAATCTATGGATCAAGTTTGTATCAGAAAAACTCAATAGAACTGGTATCTGCTCTAGTATAAGGATTAGCATGGTATGTCATAAATGAGGATTCTTTAGCACAGCAATTGTTAACGTACTTCAAGACAGTGACTCTGAGAGCCTGTTTGTAAACGAAGTAACAAAGTTTAACCCATGTTATCAGCCTGGGATTTCACTAAATTGGCTGAGGACTGGAAAATAGCAAACGCTATACCAGCTGTTTAAAAGGAATCCAGAGGGGACTCAGGAAATTACTGGCCAATTAGCTTAACATCTATTCTGGGTAAATTAGTAGAAACTATTACGAAAGGCAGAATGACTAAGCACATTGCGGAACAAGCTTGCTGAAAGAAAACTGAGAGAAAACTTACTCTGAGAAACTGGATAGAGAGAGAAAAAACATTCTCCCTCTACCATGATACTAGAATTCAGGGACACCCAATGAAGTTAAGGATGAACAGAAGTAATTCTTTATTCAATGCATAATTATACTGTGGAGACTATATTGTGGAGATGCCAATAGCATTGATAGCTTTAAAAGGGAATCAGACAGATTAATGGGGATAGGTCCATCAGTGGTTACTAGCCATGACTAAAGGAAGTCTTCACATCCAGAGCAAGTAAACCTCTGAATACCAGTGCTGGGAGGCAACATCAGGCAATGGAGGCCTCTATGCTATGTTTGTTGTTTCTCCAAGGGTGACTGGTTGACTACTGTGTGGTCTCATCCAGAAGTACACCCCTTATTTTCTTAACAGCAAACTCCAGAGGATGGTGGAAGACAGGAGAGCCTGGCTGGATATGGTCCATGGGGTCACGAAGAGTCAGACTCGACTCCACCGTGTGACTGAATAACAACAAGTACATATTGATGTGGTACATCATGATATAAAATAAAAATGTGATAAAATGCTCCCCTAAAAGCACTGCCCTAGAAATTACTTGTTTGATTATACATTGTACTCATTACAATTGCTGCAGTTAAATATAAACAGTAGAGAGCATTAAGCCCATCACTAAGTTAGGGTAAATAAAAGAAAAAGTATAAAACCGAACAAAACTACCTTCCACAGCCTGCAGTTCAGCGTCTTAACCACTTGAGCCACCGCAGCTCAATTGTAATGAGTACATTGTACTCATTACAATTGCTGCAGTTAAATATAAACAGTAGAGAGCATTAAGCCCATCACTAAGTTAGGGTAAATAAAAGAAAAAGTATAAAACCGAACAAAACTAAACCATACCGAAAAGCCTATAAAGTATCTCTCTTTATAAACTTTTTAATTTCTAAAATGAAATGTGCTGGGATCCAAGCCAGCTAGCTTTAAAGTCACATTCTCTGTTCTGTATGCTCAGCAGATGTGTGTGAGATGACTGCAGCAGATGAAACAGAGACAATTCAAATATTCTCAACATTTATTTATTTGTTTAGAACATTTCTATTTGGCCTTATTTCTCAGACTCAGTGCTGGGAGGCAACATCAGGGGATGTAGGCCTCTATGATCTGTTTGTTGCCTCTTCAAGGGCAACTGGTTGACTATTGTGTAGTCTCCTCCAGAAGAACACCCCTTCTCAGAATAACTTCCACATTTCCTGTAATGTTTTATTGAAAATATTAATTTTTCAGTGTAATATTGTAAGTCTCCCAGTATATCTATGAATTAAAAAGGCAAGGTGTATAGAGAACTATTAAAATAACTACAATGTAGGCTTGTTCAAAAGTAGCATGCCCATTCTCCATGTTTGAGAGGCCAAGAATGGGCTTTATGACGATAGTGCATGTCTTCAGGTCTGGGTTTGGATTGTTTCAGCCCACTCAGCCTGGAGGAAGTTGACAGACTGCTCGTGCATGTACACCCAACCACATGCAGCCTTGACCCGTGCCCTTCCTGGCTCATTAAAGTGGGCCACAAGGGGTTCCGAGATGCCCTGAGGGAGATTGTCAACAGGTCCCTCTCTGAGGAGCGATTCCCAGTGGCACTCAAGGAAGCAATGGTCCGCCCTCTCTTGAAAAAACCAACTCTGACCGAATTGGCCAACCTGTTTCCAATTTGCCCTATTTCCAATTTGCCCTATTTCCAATTTGCCCTATTTGGGCAAATTAATCGAGAGGACGGTGGAGATACAGTTACAGAGCTTTCTGGATGACGCTTCCGTCTTAGATCCCTTCCAGTCTGGTTTTCGCCCGGGACACGGGACGCAAACAGCTGGTTGCCCTTACTGATGACTTCCGGAGGCACCTGGATCGGAGCGGTTCGGCAGTGCTGTTGTTAGACCTGTCGGCTGCATTTGACAGGGTCGGGGACAAAGGGTGGTGCTAGGGGAACAGCAGTCCAGGAGGCACCCGCTCGAGTGCGGTGTGCCTCAGGAGGCAGTGCTTTCCCCAATGTTGTTTAACATCTACATGCGCCCCCTTGCCCAGATTGCCTGGAAGTATGGGCCGGGGTGTCACCAGTATGCTGATGACATCCAGCTCTATCTGATGTTGGGTGGCTGGTCAGAGTCCAGCCCGGAAGATCTGGACTGGGCATTGCAAGCTGTGGCTGGTTGGCTTAGACTGAGCCGGCTGAAGCTGAACCTGGCGAAGACGGAGGTCCTGTGCCTGAGTCGGGGTGGCCTGGGGATGGGGATCCCACTCCCAACCTTCGACGGGGCTCCATTGGTGCCAGTGCTGGAGGCAAGGAGCTTGGGAGTACTCCTGGACCCCTCCTTAACTATGGAGGCCCAGGTAGCAGTCACTGCCAAGTTGGCCTTTTACCATCTTCGGCTGATCCGGCAGTTGGTTCCCTTCCTCAACCGCAATGACCTGGCTACAGTGATCCATGCAATGGTCACTTTGAGATGAGACTACTGTAATGCTCTCTACATGGGGCTGCCCTTGTCACTAATCCGGAAGTTGCAGCTAGTGCAGAATGCCGCGGCCAGGCTTCTGATGGATCTCCCTAGATGGGAACAGATCGGGCCTGTGCTGAAAGCACTGCACTGGCTGTCAAAAGCATACAGAATTCGCTTCAAGGTGCTGGTATTGACCTTTAAAGCCCTACATGGCCAGGGTCCAGCATACCTGAGGGACCGCTCTTCCACCAGGCCTTCAATTAGGAGCCACCCACTCCTACCAATGACTACCATCAACTATTATCATTATTAACTTCCTGATAATAGGCCGGCCCTTTTTTGGAGATCGAGATACAGCATCGTGTGAGACTGGATACCGCTGAACTGGGACATGGCCTTACATCTTACAGCCTGCCATCTTTAACTGACTGAAGGACTGACCATCTCCACGAGCATTTTAACTTTAGTTCTCAACTGTTTAATATGTGATTGTTTTATTTCATTTTTAGGTATTTATATGATTTATATTGACCCAGCTGCTGAATGTGAGCCGCCCTGAGCCTGCCCTGCGGGGAGGGCGGGATAGAAATTTAATAATAAATAAATAGTGAAGAACTGCACTGGTTTTAACCATCATTAACATTACTGCTCCCAGTAATAAAGAGAAAGGAACTTCTGCACCAAACCTATTTAAAAGAATAGTTAAATACAGCTTTGATATTTTTGGATGCTGAAAAAGCATTTGACAATGTCAGCTGGCAATTTATTATTCAACAGCTGAAGATAATGGATTTTGGGATTAATTTCATAAGGGCGATTGAAGCTATATATACAAAGCAGAAAGTGAAAGCAGTAGTAAACAATTAATTGATTGATAAAAAGGGACAAGACAAGGTTGTCCAATATCTCCATTGTTGTTTATCCTGCTTTGGAAGTTCTGACAAGAGCTATTAGAAAAGACTCCCTTATTAAAGGGACATTGTAACGATTTCATGTTTTGTGTGTGTGTGTCTTTAAAAGTGGTTTGTATGGATGTATGACAGACTAGGATGCTGGACTCAGTCAAGTGGTATGATTGGTGAGTGACAGAGAGGGGGAGGGTTTTTGGAATGGATGCTGTGTGGATGATTGGAATGTCTATCTGGTGTGTCTGTTGACTGGATTTCAACTGGAGAAGAAAGTCAAATATTTGGGTATTAATATTACAGCAAAATGTAGTTCCCTGATGAAAGATAATTATAATAAAGTGTTGTGAGACATTAAAAAAGATTTAGAGAAATGGAAAATTTTGCAAGTAACACTAATGGGCAGAATAGCAATTTTGAAAATGAACGTTTTACTACGTATGTTGTTTTTATTTCAGACACTGCTGATATACATTAAACAATTTTTAAAAAATGAATTGAATAAACTGACACAATTTTATATGACAAGGGAAAAATCCAAGAATCAAACTGAAAGCCTTGCAGGATGTGAAAGATAATAGTGGATTTGGAGTACCAGACTGGAAGAATTATTATAGAGCAGCAAGTCTGGTTTGACTGAGAAAATGGATTCTACTTGAAGATCATAGGCTACTGGCTCTAGAAGGACACGATTTAAAACTGGGATGGCACTCCGCATGCGGGGAGGGCGGGGTATAAATGAAATAAAATAAAATAAATAAATAATTTTTTATGGTATGGGAAAGCCTCCGGACATAAATATTTTTAAAATCATATGATAAGATGATGTGGGAAAAGATTCGTCCGCTGATATATACTAAAATTCCAAGATGGGTGTCTCCAGTGGAAGCTTTTTCTCAACCAACTTTGACTTCAAAACAACAGTTATTAGATATGCAGAATTGTTAGATGATGAAAATAATTTAAAATCTCAGGAAGAACTGAAGAAAAATGAAATAAACTTAGATTGGTGGACTAGAATGCAAGTGGAATCTAGATATAGTAAGGATAAACAGACAGATGGCTTCTATTCAGAACATTTATTTATTTAATTATTTATTTAATTTAGTTTATATCCTGCCCTCCCTTGCCAAGACGGGCTCAGGGCGGCTCACATAGAATTACATAAATAATCATAAACATAATATAAAATAATCATTTAAAATCCTCCTAAAACAATGTGTATTTGAAAAATGATTAAGTATTTCAAGAGATACATTCATTAAGAAAATGTATGGTATGCTGATGCAATTGAAAATGCAGGATGAAATAGTTAAAGAGTGTATGGTTAGATGTGGGTTATAACATCAATCTGTCACAGCGGAGTAAAATATGGAAAGTGAATATTAAGTTGACTAAATCTGTTTCATTCAAAGAAAACTTATATAAAATGTTCTATAGATGGCAACTAACCCCAGATAGATTGGCTAAAATGTATAAAAACTTGAGTAATATGTGTTGGAAATGTAATAACCATATTGGGTTGTATTACCATATGTGATAGACATGTAAAAAGGTTCATAAATTCTGGATTGAAGTGCATACTTTCTTACATTTAATCCTGAATATTAAAATACCTCTTAAAACAGAGATATTTTTGTTAAAAAGTCTACCAGTTAGCTAAGAATCACAGATATTTTATTTTACATGTTATAACAGCCAGAATTTTATTTGCAATGGCATGGAGGACATTGAAGATTCCAGCGCTACATGAGCTGATATTGAAGATTATAGAATGTGCTGAAATTGACAAGTTGACAAATATATTAAAAGGAAAAATGGAAGAAGAATTTATGGGACCTTGGAGGGCATTCTATGACTGGTTAAAACTTAAGTATTAAGAAAATAAGATCATGTGAAGAATAGTAAGAATGACAGATGAAGTAGTTGTGAAATTGTAATGAGAAGATATGCATGCAGAATGCTAAATTGGAATTTTTAAATATTTCTGTACTTTCCTTTTCTTTCTCCTTCCCCCTTTCCCCCTTTCTGTATATAAACTAATAATTAAAAAAAAGTTAAATATTCAGATGATACTATGACAATATACGTACAGTTTGTTACCACTCTGTTCAGGTAAATTATTCATCACCAAATCTATTTTATAAATGTTCTGATGTCAGTATGACAATATATGTACATTTTGTTACTACTGTGTTCAGGTAAATTATTCATCAATTAGATGATCATTCCCACAAATCTTAGAAAGGATATAAAGATACTTTCCTTGTTTCAAATTTGACAGATTCCACACTTCTTCATTTAGAAAAGACACTGTAGCACCTTTGAGGAAAAGGCAGCGAATATCTGGAGGATCCAACTAAAACCCCAAAAAATTAAAACTAGTTGAAATCATTATCCAAAATAATATAAGCACATGTGGATGACTGATAGAAATTTCCTGCTAATAAGCAATTGGATACAGATATTAAATTTAATTGTTTTCAGTAAATTTATAATCAGCCAAGCATTGCACTAGTCATTATTATGCACTCAGAATACTTATTCATGCTACACTAGAAATTTCAAATGAACAGCCTCTTATTATTATACAAAATACTTATTTGGTTAGCTTGCTAAGCTTGTGCTAAATACTGCCCCAAAGGTTAGCTGACTGGTTGTTACTAGGAATTTCCTCCAGAAGATCATGACTGGAAAAACAGAGGGTATCAAGGTGGCTGCACGTGTTTCGTGTCCTTTTGCCTTGATTTGCCCTTTCAGTAGCCCCTTTCTTATCTTCTCTAGGAAAAATCTTGCACAGAGACTAAGCAAAAATACTACTTGCTGAAGACGGGAAGCCTCTTTGTTCCATGGCAAGCACTGGTGGTAAAGGAACCAGACCACATGCTGGGGTACGTGGGACATACTTACCATCAATGCTGCTTTACAGATGCTTCCTTTTATGCTGTGCCTCACTTTCAAGGCTGAATCCCAGTACCCATGCTCACAAGAATTGGGAACTTTCTTATGCTCCCCTCTCCTGTAGCAGCATCTTCTGACTTTGGGAAAGTTGATTCCCAGAGTCATAGGACTTGTGTGGATTAATCGCCATGCAGGTTGAGTGGATGAAGTGGGCAGAAGGTGAAGTTGCTCTTCCTGAGCTGATGGAAGAGGAAGGAGTGGACAATTTCACCCTGCCTCACTGCAGCCCACTGACAATTGTCCACAACAGTCCACAAGGGTCCCTCAACCACAGCAGACAGCACTCCCAGGCTTGGAAGGGGCTGCTGGGGAGATGGGGATTGTGGGACAGCTCTGCAACCACCAATGACTTCCACTGAGCTTAACAGATCCAACTCACCAACAACTGTTTTCTGCAATTCTCCATCTTGTGCCCTGATTGCATCTCTTCCATGACATCCTCTTGTGACCTTCCTCTCTTCTTCCCATCTGCACAAGCACATCTACTGTTGCTTCTCATTTTCTCTTCCTGATTTGCTCTGTCTTCACTATTTGTGAAAAAGTATCACCTTCCCTACTTTGTATGGCTACTTCTCCTCAATTTGAAAACAAACTTTTCAAGTAAAGCTTTTCGTGATCTCGCCCCCTCTACTCCTGATTTCATGCTTTTTATTCATTAACTATTCCTGATATTTCCCAGTACTCCTTATTTTATCCATGTAATGCAAAAAGTACTAGACACTATTAGTAGTAATAGTTTTGGCAATGACTGTACAGAATATTCATTCTTACTTGAAGATTTTCTTCTGTGGTAACCCAATGGCCTCCAACGCTGAGCAGCATAATGATATCATGTTTGTGTGGTAGCAATTGTTGTGAAGTTGTTTCATTTTCCTTACTGTATAATCTCACTGAAAAAGGAAACACAACCATGGTATTTTAAAGTTTCATAAGTTCTCTTTAATATATTCAGGATTCACCTATGTTTATCCAATATCAATATTTGGCACTGACTTTCATTTTTGTTCTTTGTATTTCAACTGAAAATCAAGTATTTCAACTGAAAATCATGACAATTATTTTCCTAGCTCACCTCCCTGACTGCTGGTGATTCATGACTGTTGACAACACCTGGCAAAGCTGGACAGCTGCTCAGGGCCCAGCATGATCATCAGTGTTCTCCTCATGCTCATGGACATAATAGAATAAAGATTTGCAGATATGATGTAAGTAATACTCTTTTGCTGGGGGCAAGGGGAGAAGGATCAGTGGCTTGGATGCAACACTCCACTACGTTCGGGCAGCAAGCACCTCCCCCTGCAAAAGCATGCCACCTACATCATGTTGATTCCAGTGGGATTTCTAATTCACCCCTTCTCTCCTGGTATTCTGGAAAGAAGCAATGAGAATGGATTAAGGCCTGCAGAAGTAAGCAAATGGCATAACCTTAATAGAGAATGGCAGGAATTTTGCTCAGGAACTACTGCAAATGTCTAACATGGACAGGAGCCATATCAAAAAATCTGTATAAATGGAGCTAGCCAGGGCTATAATTTAGAATTCTACAAATGCAGAAAAAAATCAATCTATTTAAAAAACTGTAGGGGAACGCCCCCCCACCCCCATATTAAGAGGTAAATAGAAATCACTGAGCTTGGACAGAATTTTGAACTGCCTTAGCAACCCAAAATGGCTCTTGTAGCATTGGAGCTAGCCACTAGCATCATGAGGAACAGGAGGTAAAAGCTGAGAAATATGGTCTCCACATAATGGGACACTCAGTGTAGCGCTTTCTCCTGAGTGTCCCATCCCCTGAGCACAGGTGGATTCTCATGTTGGTACAGTTCTGGAAACACACTTGGGGCCAAACTACATGATATGTTTGGCCATGAGTTGGCTCAGGGTTCCCCTGTCCTGACTCCCTCACATGGCAGCTGTGGGGGAACTTACCCAAAAGCTGCAGGGCCCAATTTGGATCATAACAACAGTATTAGGGGTCTGGGATGAAGGGCTTCAACCTACCCACCTGCACCAATTTCCCTGAGACAAAACGCATTGGGGGCACTTTTTGCCCTGTTGCTGGGCTGCATCTGCAGTATTCAGTAATGTCCCATGGACCTGTTTTGGTCTGGGGGGAAAGTGCGATGGGGGGAAGCTGGAGGCCCTCCTGCCCAGGTGCTTCTATCCCAATTGCACCCTGCAGTGCTTCAGTAAGTTCCCCACAGTTTCCATGTGGCTGCAGGAAAAGTGTGACAGGTCAAGATTCCCCCCCAAACCAACCAGTGACCAATTGTATTGTGTAGTTTAGTCCTCAAAAAGCTTTTGAAACTAGTCTTTGAAAGGAAGTAGTGTTGTACACCTGGGTATGTGCTGTGGAGTTAGACAAAGGGCCATTTTGTCTATCCATGCGTGGCGTGGTTTTTGCTGGTTTTTGTAAGCTGCCTTTAACTATAGTTTAATAATCAGAATGGCAGGGTATAAATGTTTTAATTAATAAATAAAATATTCTGTGGTCGAAATAGCAAATTTTAAACTTAATGAATTTTTGAATTTCCTCCCTTTGTGTGCCGCAGCCTTCTTAAAAAAGAAAAAGGAAGTTATGAATCTAAGTTTTGGTCTTCATTTGAATACTACCACAGGATGTTCATGCTACTACTACATATACTGTGATATTCAATTAGTCAGTTATAACTTCTTTGGTGCCTTTATAGTACACAAAGGGAGAAAAAAATCAAGTTTTAAACAGCTGTGACTCAGACATTTTTGAAATGATTTATATGGTGTTTAGTCTGTGTCTATCACTAACTCAAGAGCCCCCCCCCTTACAATAGTACACATCATCTAGGTTTTATATTGAATATAATTATGCACAGAAAATCCCTCATGCAGCTTCTGGCCAGACCATCCAGGTTCCACCAGTGGTAACAACATATATGACATACCTTGCCTCTTTCACCCAACTGAACCCCTGTACTAAATTACTCTCTGATGTACACATAATCTCAGTTTAATCAAAACATAATTCATAGTTTTATCAGAGAACGCCTCACATATCAACTCTAGAGCTGCTCTTGTGGCCTTATAATATGCCTATATACAAAGAGATGACATTATGTCAGGCATATGACAATAAATAAGTTTAATATACAAAAGCATATATTGGAGTATTACTGAATTTGTTAGTGTGACGACCCCTTATCTGGGGAGGACTGGTTCCCTTTAAAAGTGTTCTTTATATTTTGTTCTACTGGGTATATCTGGCTGCCACCCGGAAATTTTAAAGGATTTCCAAACCTTTATGCTTTTACTCTTGCTATTACTGGGTAGGTAGGTCGAGTTTAAGGCTCATGAGGGACTATGTGGTCCTGAGGAAGTATTCCTTTCAGAGCTGGTATACTTAAATAAAATAAATTGAAATAATTCATAAATAAAAGGGTAGAACAATGTAACCAGTAATGTGAATATTTTGAACAATTGCTTGGTGTCTCACACAAGATCTGCTCCCTTACTGACAGGGATCTTTCAGGTAACTTTGTAACACTTTAACTCAAGGTCTTATAAGTTCACTGTTTCTCTCCAAGTTATCAGGACATACAGCCTTTCCTATAATTTGTCTTCAATTAAACTTTCATTTACTTTTTCTTATTCTCTGTAACTTCCTTCATACACAGAACTAACTGCTTGTCTAACTCATCCCCCACACAGAACTTAGAGCTAATCGAACTTCTCTTTGCTTCTCTCACAGAACTCCGAACTAACTTATCAACTGTCTTCATCAACTGTCAAACCTGTAACTGTCACTCCTGACAGACACACATATTCATCCACTCAGAATCACTTCCAAAACCCCTCCCCTCTCTGTCAATCATCAATCACACCACACTTGTCTCTTCAACCACTCTAGTCTATCACAGCCATGCAACCAAGCTTTTAAAGAGACACACACACGTATAAAACAAGGAATCATTACAGTTAGTAATATATATTTAAGTATTATATTTAATAAGAGCATTTGAACAATTACAGACCTCCTGCATCAAGGATAATATCCACTCCCAATCCTCCAGTTTCCTCCAAACAGCTTTCTGTCAGGTCATACTTTCCATGTGATTCATCTATAATACGAGCTAGATGGGATAAGAACATTTCCACAATATCTTAGGCAAAAAAATGCAGCTTCTGTTCTTCAAACCAATCCAAACACAAGGAGAACAATACCAAACCAAACACAAGGAGAACAATACATTTTCTTTTCCTCAATAAAATGCACAATTGGTCAGTAAGATTGCAGGAAACAAGACAGATATCAAACATTAGGCTGCAATCTTATTGGCTACCTTGACAAACAGTCTGGAATATTTTTGTGCTTAATGTGAACTACCTAAAGTTAATGAAAATTGCCATAGAAACTGTAAGACTGTGTTCTTTAAACAAACCTGCTAATGGTTGCTTGGCACTTTTTAAAATAAAAAAGAATGAAATAACCAATTTAAAAAAACACTTAAAATATCAAATATGGTACATTTTCTTAAACACAAAAGACATGAAGGGTTCCGAGGTGCCCTAAGGGAAATTATCAACAAGTCCCTCTTTGAGGAGCTGTTCCCGGGGGCACTCAAAAAAGCGATGGTCCACCCTCTCCTGAAAAAACCATCTCTGGATCTGGTCGAATTGGCTAACTATTGGCTGGTTTCCAATTTGCCCTATTTAGGCAAATTAATTGAGAGGGCGGTGGCGATACAGTTGCAGGGCTTTATGGATGACACTTCCATATTAGATCCCTTCCAGTCCGGCTTCCACACGGGACGGAGACGGCATTGGTTGCTCTTACGGATGACTTCCGGAGGCATCTGGATTGGGGCGGTTCGGCAGTACTGCTGTTGTTGGACCACGGCCAACCACAAGTTGCTGACCCACCGCCTTGCTGACATGGGGATCCAGGGGCTTGCCTTGCAATGGCTTGCTTCCTTTTTTCAGGGTTGGGGACAAAGGGTGGCGCGAGGGGAATAGCAGTCCAGGATACACCTGCTTGAGTGCGGAGTGCCTCAAGGGGCAGTGCTTTCCCTGATGTTATTTCCCTGATGCCCCCTTGCCCAGATTGCTCAGAGTATGGGTTGGGATGTCACCAGTACGCTGATGACACCCAGCTCTATCTGATGTTGGACTTCCAGTCAGACTCCAGACCGGAAGATCTACCGGGCACTGCAAGCCGTGGCTGGTTGGCTTAGGCTGAGCTGGCTGAAGCTGAACCCGGTGAAGACGGAGGTCCTGTGCCTGAGTTGGGGCGGTTCTGGGGTAGGGATCCCACTCTCGACCTTTGGTGGGCCACCATTAACACTAGCGCTGGTGGTTAGGAGTCTGGGAGTGCTCCTGGATACCTCCTTAACAATGGAGGCCCAGGTAGCAGCCATTGCTAAGTCAGCCTTTTACCACCTTCGGCTGATTCGGCAGTTGGTTCCCTTCCTCGACCGCGATGACCTGGCTACAGAGATTCATGCGATGGTCACCTTGAGACTAGACTACTGTAACACTCTCTACACAGGGCTGCCCTTGTCGTAAATCCGGAAGCTGCAGCTAGTACAGAATGCCGCGGCCAGGCTTCTGATGGGTCTTCCTAGATGGGAGCATATCTGGCCTGCGCTGAAGGTACTGCACTGGCTGCCAATATCATACTGAATTCGCTTCAAGATGCTGGTACTCACCTTTAAAGCCCTATATGGCCAGGGTCCAACATACCTGAAGGACCGCCTTTCCCCATATATACCCCAGAGAGCACTACGGTCGGGGTCACAACATCGATTGACCCTCCCAGGCCCTAAGGACGCCAGGCTCGCTGCTACTAGGACCAGGGCCTTTTCAGTGGTGGTTCCATACTGGTGGAATGAGCTCCTGGAAGAGATCAGGGCCCTGCGGGATCTTCTACAGTTCTGCAGGGCCTGCAAGACGGAGCTCTTCCACTAGGCTTTCAATTAGGAGCCGCCCGCACCACTACCACCAACATCTGTGGTTATGGGCCACAGATGGTTATGCGTGACGCCAGAAGATTACTTAGTCTGAAATTGTCTGCTGTTACATCATATAGCTCGCCATCTCAATTACTGATGGGATGTTTAGTACCACTAGTACTTTATGATTACCTGAATGTTTTAAAATGTTTTAAATGTTTTTATGTGGATTTTATGGTACCTTGTACTGATTACTGTAAGCTGCCCTGAGCCTGTTTGTGGGGAGGGCGGGATACAAATGGAATAAATAAATAAATAATCTATTTTTAATGGGCTTTACAGAGCCCATGATAGAGGATTGTCAAATACCTGAGTGGACTGCTCTTTTCTCATTTCTCTTCTATGGCTGTCTCTCCAGGCACACACACCATTGCTTACTAACCATCATATAGTGTATCCAGCCCACCTTCTTCTCTGTACAGCTGAGAGCAATGGCCACTAGCAGGCTAGGGCTTTTAGGGATAGGCTGCAGATAGGAAGCATTCCTGTCTTCTATGAGGAGTCATGGCCAGTTTGATCTCATCCACACATTCTATGTTCAAGGGCTGGCTAGGAGCGGGAAGGATGGATCCATTGAACCCTATGGAAATCCCTCCAAGCGGCATCTGTGTTAGCATGTCTCTGTGTAGAAAATCTCTTTCTGCAGGATTGATTTAGCATCCTTAACACTCCTAATAAAATCTATGCCACATATAAATTCTTAATTTTGGCTAGCTCATGCCCATTATCATTTCTTTGATTTGTTACCTCTTTTTACTGCACAACTCAAAATAATGTACAAAGCTTACAGCAATGCATATTCAAAATACTTCAATATATATTCTAACCACAAGGACTATGCCAGCCTTTGCTTATTCAGTAGAATGCAAATTACTCAGACATTTTTTTAAAAGCTCTGGCAAAAAATAGCTTGGTAGAGATGATAACCACCAGCTAAGGCCACAATCTGCCCTCTCCATATTATTTTCTGTAACAGTCTCTGTGGTAATCATCCTCAAAAGTCCTACCTCTTCTCCAGGGCTCTGAACCAATCCTCATGATTTAGGCTTCATGCAAATCCAAGTGATTGTCAACCAATCAGAGCCCATGGAATTCCACTGAATGGGAAGGGTGAGCCAGCCTCAGCTTATGTGGGGTAAAGAAAACCTTTTTTTCTTTCGTCAGGGAACTACAGCTCTGGAAAAAAGTGTCAGCTTAGCCAGGCTTTTATTTGGCTTTTAGTTAGGGTTTTGAGGGTCGGCTTAGGGAAGAAAGCTTGTTTTAGTGTGACAAATAAGCATTGTGTTAAGCGCCCAACATTCCTAATTTGTGTGATAAAAGGGCAGCCTTGAACCTGCTGAGGGAACCTGTCTGGAAACAGGGCAATCACATTTCCCTTCAGAGTTTATTTACTTTACTTGAGGCTCAGCTACAAAGTAGTTATTCTCATGGGGGAGAAGTCTGTAACCTTTGGGGGGAGGGTGAAGCTGAGAGCCAGTTATACTTTATATATTAAAGCCATCCATGCAAAGCATTTACTCTGTTAAATACTTTATTTTCTGATAAATAAACCTTTGTTGTTCATCTCCGTCTGTGTCTTGTCTGCCTAGTAAAATACCTAGGAAATAGTGAAATCTATTTGCCTCACAAGTAAGTACTGTCTTGGTCTATCAGGTTTCCAAATGAGAGAACTTTAGGGAACATATACTTTAGGGAACTTTAGGGAGCATACACTACCAATCCTTTAATCAAAGCTAGAATCCCATCTTTTATTCTACTGTAGGCTTTTAGCAGCTTTTAATTTCAGTTAAACTGTCTGTTTTATTATTTTAAGACACATTAAGCCTCTTTTATGGAGGAGAAGAGATAATGCAGGAGAGAGGCAATTGTTTCAGACAGCTTGTGCCATTTAAATTTGGGCGTATTTATTTATTTATTATTTAGAGTTTTACCCCGCCTTCCCCTCCGAGGCAGGCTCAGGGCGGCTTACATAAAACCCAATAAATACAAAATACATCTCAGAATAAAATACACAATAAACGGTTTAGACTGTTAATATGTCAATGACGATCCAGATATAGTAAAGTGTGTTTAAGAAGTTTAAGTAGTAAGTAAGTTTAAGAAGGCTGGTGTCAGCAAGCTGCCAAATTATGTATTTGTAGTGATGTATGTTCTATGCACTCTGTACATGCTTTGTTCCTGTAGTTGTAACCTGTGTAATTCCCTCCTGCTGTGGGTATTGTTTTCATCTATTACTTAGCAACCTAGACGCATGCCCAGAAGTAGAGCTTGTTAGTGAACTATGTAACACTCAAGGCCAAGCAGGTGGGTGATAAGGATAGAGGCAGCTTTTTGTTTTAATTAGCAGAGCCTGAGAAAAGCTTAGTAACGATAACGGGAGCGTTTGGTTCCCAGCAAGTTGGTGCGCTGGATTTACAAGCGGGAAATAGAATCATTGGCTTAGCAGTATTTTGAAATGCTTTTATATTACTTGCTATGGTCCTTCCATGTTATTCTAAACAGAAACCTCTCTAGTGATCCATTACTGCAATAAAGAAACCTTTTCTTCGAGAAGTATCTACGTTGTTTTGATGGGACCTTGACAGCTGGAAGTAAGTTGGCACAGGGCGTAGCTGATAAGGTGCCACTTCTATCGGAATGCCTGCCGGAAAAGCTCCATTTTCACGGCCCTGCGGAACTGTCCCAGGTCCCACAGGGGCCTGATCTCACCGGGGAACTTATTCCTATAGGTCGGAGCAGCCAAAGAGAACGCCCTAGTCCTGGTCGATGTCAATCTGGCGTCCTTCGGACCAGGGAGGGCCAAGCAGTTTTGTGACCCTGATCGCATTGTTCTCTGGGGAACATGCTGGGAAAGGCAGTCCCTCAGATAGGAAGGTCCCTGACCATAAAGGGCTTTAAAGGTCAAAACCAGCACCTTGAAATGAATCCGGTATGCTATTGGCAGCCAGTGCAGTGTCTTTAGCACAGGCTGGATGTGCCCCCAAATAGGGAGACCCATCAATTTATTTATTTATTTATTATTGCTATTTGTATCCTGCCTTGCCGGGCACGCTGGGTCAAGGCGGCTAACGGAGTTAAAATAACATAAACAAAACAGAGTTAAAACGATTAATAAATACAAT